TATATTTTATGTATTCTTTTCTATATATCTGATTTAAAAAAAAATCTAACCTGCATTACGTGAACTTTGAAAAAACTTGGCTTATTTATTTTGATTTTTTTTCTATATTTTCAATTTATTTGATTTTTTAAATCTTACTTACCGTACATGAACTTTGAACTAACTTACACTAGTTATTTTGATTTAGTTTTTATATTTTATGTATTATTTTCTATACATCTGATTAAAGAAAAAATCTAACTTGCATTACATGAACTTTGAAATAACTTGGCTTATTTATTTTGATTTATTTTCTATATTTTCTATTTATCTGATTTTTTTAATCTAACTTACCGTACATGAACTTTGAACTAACTTACACTAGTTATTTTGATTTAATTTCTATATTTTGTGTATTCTTTTTTTATATATCAGATTTTTTAAAAATCGAACTTACCGTACATGAACTCTGAACTAAATGGTATTCTTTTTTTATATATCAGATTTTTTAAAAATCGAACTTACCGTACATGAACTCTGAACTAACTTACACTAGTTATTTTGATTTCATTTCTATATTTTGTGTATTCTTTTTTTATATATCAGATTTGAAAAAAATCTAACTTACATTACATGAACTTTGAAATAACTTAATTTATTTTCTATATTTTCAATTAATCAGATTTTTTAAATCTTACTTACCGTACACGAACTTTGAACTAACTTACACTAGTTATTTTGATTTCATTTCTATATTTTGTGTATTTTTTTCTATGGCTTCGACACCATACGTATGTTCGAAATTTACTTGAGTCGAATATTTGATCAGATTTCCCTCCGTTTTGTTTGAGAATTCGTCCGTTTATGCGGTTGCAGTTTTGCCCCGGCTGTCTGGGCGGGAGCGGCGCGCCGTGCTGGGGGGCGTGGCCTCGGTGCTCAGGAACGCGGCGGTGGGCGGCCTGCTGGTGGCGCTGGACTTCCTGGTTTTCTGGATCCTGGACCAGGTGCACCACCAGGTGAAGTCGGACGTGGTGGCCAGAGGTGAGCCGCTCCGAATCAGAATTGTAGCGGATTAATATTCTACAGTGAATATATTATCACAAAAGAATTAGTAGTAAGTGCATTAATACATATATATCTAAAAGAAAAGTAGAAGTAATATGTAGCTGGGATATATATATATACATATATAAACATATAAAAGGAAGAAACCATGGTTCAAAGGCTAAAACATAATAGAGGTGGAGTCCCGATAGAGGAGGGGCTCAGGGAGGAGCCCTGATAGGAGGGGCTCAGGGTGGAGCCCCCAAGAATAAAAAGGTTTAAAAGCAGGTGTCCGTCCCAAGAAAATCAGTTGTTAGCCGGCTAACAGCTCACGTGGATTTGCTGCAATAAACCACTTGGACCTGGATCTAGCGGCCTCTGCTTGTTCTTTTGGACTTAGGATAATTCTTCAACTTTGGACTTAGGATAATTCTTCAACTTTGGACTTAGGATAATTCTTCAACTTTGGACTTAGAATAATTCTTCAACTTTGGACTTAGAATAATTCTTCAGCTTCTCCTTCAAGAACTTAGTATTTTTGCGAGACTTAGAATAATTCGACAAGTCGTTGAAAGGATATTTCACGACAGAATCAGAATCAGAATCAGAATTAGGTTTATTGCCAAGTAGGTTTTTCCACCTACAAGGAATTTGATTTGGTGTTTGGTGCACGACACTTCTATGACAAACAAGAAATGACATACAATCAATCACTTTATTTAAAAAAATAAATAACTAAATAAATAAAGTGATTGATTGTATGTCGTTTCTTGTTGTGTCATAGAAGTGTTGTGCACCAAACACCAAACTACATACAATGTAGAAATAAAAATATAGAATAAAATAAATAATAATAATAAATAATAAAATAAAATATTGAATGTCCGACGACAAACCAGAAAATGTTGAACGTAGTATTGGGTATATTAGTGAGGTAGAGGGGGGTGAGAGAAGAATAGTTGGGGGTCACTGGCCTCGTTGATTTCCCAAAGGACCCTGTTCTGATGTGACCTTTGACCCCGAGAGAGCCTGCTCTGATGTGACCTTTGACCCCCAGAGAGCCTGTTTTTAAAGTGACCTTTGCCCCCAGAGAGCCTGTTCTGATGTGACCTTTGACCCCCAGAGAGCCTGTTCTGATGTGACCTTTGACCCCCAGAGAGCCATTTCTTATGTGACCTTTGACCCCCAGAGAGCCTGTTCTGATAAAGGACGCTGCCTCTCAGTAGCAGGATCTTTCTCCTTTCTTTGACCTTTGACCTCTAAAGAAAAACTAGGGAAGTTGTGGAAATAGTTTTTATTGATGCTGACGAGAAAAGAAGCAGTAGGAACATTCAAATAGGAAAATATGTTTGTTTCACCCCCCAAGAGAGCCTGTTCTGATGTGACCTTTGACCCCCAGAGAGCCTGTTCTGACCTTTGACCCCAAGAGAGCCTGTTCTGATGTGACCTTTGACCCCGAGAGAGCCTGTTCTGATGGAGGACGCTGCCTCTCTGTGCTAGGATCCTTCTTTTCTCTGTGACCTTTGACCCTATGGGCCTCATAGCAGACGCTATCAGGCGCTGAAGGCTCTCAGCAGGTTAAAGGGCTTTTTATTCTTAATAGACCATTTTTTTTGGTCTGTTTTTGGTCAATTTGTCTCTTTTTCTGGTCTTTTGCTCAACATTTTCTTTCATTTTTTGGAGTTTTGTGTCAATTTCTGATCATTCTCTGGTCTTCAGCTGGACTTTTTGGCAGTTTTGTGTTTTCTTTTGTCTTTTTGTGACCATTTTGTCCCCATTTCTCATCATAAACAGACATTTTAAATCTAAAGATAAACCCACTGAGCCTCTGTGTGGAAAGAAATAATCAGTACCGAGTGTGTGTTGTGGACCAATACAGCAGAACCTCTATTACGATGTCTAAAAACCCAAGTTTTCTAACATACGAAGCAAAATTCGATCAAATATGCAACTCAACATCCAAAGTAAATTTCCAACATATCACATCAAAGTCATAGAAAATAATATAAAATATAGAAATTGAATAAAAACAAATAAGCTAAGTTAGTCTAAAGTTCAGATAGTGAAAGTCAGAGTCAATTCCTGTTTGTCCTGTATCTCAGTCTCTACATACCAATAAAAAAAACCCTTTTTACTGATTATTTCTTTTTCTCTCCCCCAGCTCCGGTCTCGGTGGAGGTCCAGGTTAACGGGTCGGGCTACGCCTCGGACATCTTCAGGGACCTGGTGGCCTCCTTCAACGTTCTGCAGGGGGGAAACATCACGGTGTTCAGCAGGAAGTGCCTCCTGGAGCCGGCCGAACCCGACTACAGCACCTGCTTCCTCCTGGGTACCACACGCCGCTACGGTGGTCAAAAGTATAGATACTCAAGAAAGTATCGATACTAAAACGTTGTATCCGGATACAATACTCATTTTCAAAAGTGTCCATACTCAAATGTTGTATCCGGATACGATGCTCATTTTCAAAAGTATCGATACTTAAATGTTGTATCAGGATACGATGCTCATTTTCAAAAGTGTCGATACTCAAATGTTGTATCCGGATACGAT